CTCTAACATCCTCTGGAGTCTATTTAAGCTCACAGCTACTGGTTTGGTGACTCCATCCAGCCACCTCCTTCTCTGTCATCCCCTTCTTCTTCTTTTGCCCTCCATCGTTCCCAGCATGAGGCTCTTCTCCAGGGAGTCCTTCCTTCTCATAAGGTGGCCAAAGTCTTTGAGTTTCCTCTTCAGGATCTGGCCTTCTAAAGAGCAGTCAGGGTTGATCTCCTCTAGGACTGACCGGTTGGATCGCCTTGCAGTCCAAGGGACTCGCAGGAGTCTTCTCCAGCACCAGAGTTCAAAGGCCTCCATTCGTTGGTGCTCAGCCTTCCTTTTGGTCCAACTTTCACAGCCATCCATTGGAAAACCTTAGCCTTGACTAGACACACTTTTGTTGGTAGGGTGATGTCTCTGCTTTTTAGTATGCTGTCTAGATTAATGATATATGAGCCATTTTGTGCAGATGGGGTAGCATCAAGGCCTGTTTTGTTTCTTCTTTAGCCCATGAATGTAAAACAGGTACAATTTTCATTTAGGTATTTTGACCCGGCAACAGGGAAATTCAGCAAATCCGCAGCTGATCCTGATGGAAAGAAGTTGCCACGTACTTTCTGCCAACTTATCCTGGATCCCATTTTTAAGGTAATGCCAAAACAGTGCTATAACATTGAATGCTAATTAATCTGCTTTTCAAACTTCACACTTTTGACATTCATACATTTTGCTTACAACATTCATATTTCCAAGAACGTATAATTGGCAGAACACCTACGAATGACAAATCTTTACATGAGTATTCATAAATTGGTGGCCGCATCCTTACAAGCGTCTTCTTGGTGTAGCTTGAAATATTCTTATTCCCAATGGACAGACTTCTGCTGCCTTAACGCAGCTGTCCTGGAAAAAAATGCTTTTGAGTTCACATTGAAGTAGCCTGATTTTATTCCTATCCCTCCCGCTCAAGTTAAGCCAAGGTACTTGGATTTAAATGAATGTTATAGCCTGTTTCATAAAATGTGCACTGGGCTGTTTTACGTGTTGTATTTACATGGTGCCTAGTTGTGTGTAGCTTTTAACAACTTAATTAGGGTGTTGATGGCTAACTATTAAGTTGTTAATTGTTTCCTTGTGCTGCCCAGCTCTTGCCTGCTAAGTACTTGGTAGGCTAGTGGTAAATTAGCACACCTATTGACTGACAAGGGACCCATTTCCCAACCTTGAATCATTTTTCTGGCTATATTTGTCCCTGCTCGGCCAATAATAGTAGTAGCTGCAAAATTGAATGCATGCCCTTGTTCATTGTAATATGAGACTACCAATCCTATATGGATTGCCCCTGTAACTGACTATGTAGGACAGTTGGGAAGGAATCTAAGCACAGATTGTGAGAACACAAATGAGCAGTTAGACAGGGACTCAGTGGTAGCCTCACATTGCAATGAGCTCAGTTGAATTCAAAACTTGCAATTCATTCATTTTCACAGCTATTATGATTGTTGGTCGAGCAAGGACAAAAGCAGCCAGAAAAACAATTGACGTCTGGGAAACAGGCTCCTTGTCAGTCGATAGGAATGATGATTTACCATCAGCAATGAACAGATACTTAGGACCAATGGCACGGTGGCACAAGAAAACAACAATTAATGATTGTTGTATTAGCAACTAAAAGCTACTTGTTACACCCAGAAATCATATAAATACAACACGTAGAACCTATTCTGAAAAGAGAGAAGTTCCTTGAGGACGGGTTCCAGCATAAGCCTGAAAGTTTGAAAGACTAAACCTCTGATCCCAGGGACTGACTCAGATTGGATCCTGCAACATTATCCAAGGACACGTATATTCCCTTTCATTTGCATGTTTCGGCAAAGACTGTAGAAGGAGGAGGTGGGCCACTCTACATAATGGCAGGGCCCAGTTTCATGAACCTGAGAACGCCAAGAGCCTTCATAAGAACTTCCTGAGAGACAGCACAACCTGGTGGACTGCCTCATTAGGAAGGAAACTTTTATCAATTGTCAGCACAACTGATGGTTGATGAAACCTGACTTAGGTGATACAATGAAATACTTAACAGCTTAGAAGTAAGACGGGTAGAAGTCAGTAGATCTGAGTCCCAAATAAGAGGACGTTATATTGTAGGCCCAGGGGAAATTCTCAAGATGGACTTATCTTTCAGATATGGGTTCTTAAGTAGCAGAGTTGATGATGACATTTACTGTATTTTTCGGAGCATAAGACACTTTTTCCCCTCAAAAAAGAGGCTGAAAATCTGGCTGCGTCTTACTGAATACAGCATTTTTGGCCTCCAAAAACATCGTCCCCTTCACCAAAATGGCTGTGCATAGCTTTTAGGAGGCTTATAGAGTGCTGTTGGGGGCTGGGGAGGGCAGTTTTTTTGCTCGATTTTGCCTCCCCAGCCCGCAGCAGCACTCTACAAGCCTCCATAAGGCTATCCATGCCCTTTTTAAAACAAAAAACGGGTCCATTTTTGCACAAAATGGGCCATTTTTTGCTCGTTTTTGCCCCCCCCCAACCCCCAGGAGCACTCTACAAGCCTCCATAAGGCTATCCATGCCCTTTTTAAAACAAAAAACGGGTCCATTTTTGCACAAAATGGGCCATTTTTTGCTCGTTTTTGGGGCCCCCATCCCGCAGGAGCACTCTACAAGCTGCCTAAAGGCAATCGATGCCCCCCCTTTTTTTTAAAAAAAGCCCCTTTTTCAGGAAAAACAGGCCCTTTTGGGGAGGTTTGCAGAGTGTAAACCCTTTTTTTTAAAATTTGCATCTTCAAAACCTTGGTGCGTCTTATACTCCGAAAAATACGGTAATTTCTTTTATTTTCCCTCCCCCCGCAGGTCTTCGATGCCCTCATGAACTTCAAAAAAGACGAAACGTCCAAGCTGATAGAAAAACTGGACATCAAGCTAGACGCGGAAGATCGAGAGAAAGAAGGAAAGCCGCTTCTCAAGGTTTTTTGAAATGGCGTGTGTATGTGTGCCCTTTTAACACAAAGAGTGGTAAGCAGCCGGGTGCCCTGAGAATTGCAGGTGCCGTCTTGAGGGAGCCAAGCTGGGCGTGAACTTGTCCTGTGGTTCAAGGGACGCTGCAAAGCTTCGCGGCAGCCTTAGGGGGAAACTGCCCTGCATTTTGGAAGAACAGGGGGTGCCCCATTGTTTTTTTTTACCTTTTCAAAGAGGGAAAGCTACAGTACTGATCCGTATCTCAGGTGGCATTTCTTGAGAGCTTCTCCGTCTGTGTTTTCCAGGCCGTTATGCGTCGCTGGTTACCTGCTGGAGAGGCTTTACTTCAGATGATCACCATTCACCTGCCCTCCCCTGTGACTGCTCAGAAGTACCGCTGTGAGCTTCTGTACGAGGGGCCACCCGACGATGAAGCTACCATGGGTAAGACCTTGGAGGACCTTCAGCAGATTGAGCCAAGCCTCTCTCTCCTTTCTGACTCTTCCCATGTCACGTCACCCCAAATATTTACAAGCCCTCTGAAGTTAACTCAAAGATTCCTTTATTCGGAGCGCCAGCAGCCCCAACAATAAGTTTCTCTCTCACCACAGGCTAAGAAGTCCATCTGTCCAGGAGATGAATAGTTGTCTGCCACATCTATTGATCTCCACCCCCTGCCTTTCATCCCCAAAGCTAGGGTAGGGCTTCGCAAGCAGCAGTGGCTCTTCTGTCCCAAGGACTGGCCCATAGATTTCCACCACTCTCCTCTCCTCTGCCATTGCGCATCTGTACATCAGGCACTGGACACAGCTGTTCCACCTCTTCCTCAT